AGGGATATGATTCAAATTCTATTCTGTTAAAACCAATACATTTTTCAATATCTGTAAAAATATTTAACGTATAATTGCAGAATATATTTATATTCAATTTCATGTTTAATAAAGATCAAATAAAAATGATTAATACATACTGTTATTAAATAAATTGTATGCCATATGCTTTTCTTTAACAGAAAGATTTCTATCAGAATTTTTTTCAAAGGAAAAATCTAATTCTGCCGGTAAAGTTTCATCCATACAAGTAATAGAATTTTGGTCATCCCAGGAAGATCTTTGTAAATCTATCATTATGTGTTGAAGATTGCGTAAAACTACACAAGCTATGCCATCCATATTAGAAAAAATATTATCTGTTCTTTTATCGTTAATTTCTTCCCATTCGGTGCCACCTGATACGACACAAACTCGTTCAATCCCAGTTGGTGTCTAAGTGATGACAATTTTATTTATTTTCTTTTTAATTGGAAAGTTTAATATACTACTCATGAAAAAATGTATTAAATTCATAATACTTACCCGTATAGCTCTTAATACACGGGATGTATTGCAATCAAATATGCATAATAATCCAAATGAATCTTTCATTTTGTTCGCACCATTGTCTAAGCCAACCAAAAGTAATGGTAGGTGTCCTGGTTTTGTAGGAAATTCAGATACACACGTAATCTTTTCACTAAATGTCCAGCAACAATTAATGTTTTCTCCAAATTTAACATTAAAAACTATTAAGTGACAATCATTGCTCATCCATGCGTATGTCGTTCCATGTAAAAATCCTCCCAGAAAATTGTTGGTTGCATCGTAGTCTTGTATATGTACAGACGATCCATATTCATCTTCAGAATTTTTCAATCTATCCGATATTAATTTTCGAAGATCACTTTCTCTTAAAGCCTGTAATCGTTATTACAAACATCCATGAGAATAATTAAATGCACTTAGAAATATGACAACAACAATTCATTATATTTTTTATATATTCAATCATAATAATAATTATTTTTTGAACCTGAAATTAATCATTATAAACACATTCATAAGAATAGTTTTGTATTACACATAGAGTTATAGAAAAATGATAATATAAGTTTATTATATTTTTCATTAATCATAATAATAATGATAAAATAATTAAATTTACCTCGCAATTGACTTCTTCAAGTTCCTTCATACTTCTTGTCAATTATCAAAGCAATATTTGATCAACATTTATATTTATATATAAACTTTAGAGACGGCGTAAGGTTATACACGCGCAGAATTCCTTTAATTTACTTACATATATATCCAGACAATAATTGGACATGTATGACGAGCGTGTGAAAAAATCTATTATTAATCGGTTCGTTAATGTAACAATGTAATTTAGAAATACACATCGAAATCAGTACTGTCTCATACGCATTTCTGTACTCGTGCTAACATTTTATAATGGCGGTTATAGCTGCGAAATGCGCTAAAAGTGTTGCCAACTTTATAATTTAATTTATGCATTAATAACGGATAAAAAAGAGAATTACACGAAAATATTATTATTTGATATTTATAATACATTTATAAAAATGTTTATTTTTTCTCTACAATTAATGAATAATTTTGAATATATTTTTTTACTCGGATTCTTATATTTTACAGTTTATTTATTTTGAAAAGTTTTCAATTGGTATGCACTATTTTAAGAATATGATTGGTCTAGAAATATTTCCTACATTTAAAATCATAGAGATTCTTTATAGTTATAATTTACAGCGCCAAATTATGAATTATTGAATAGGATTCGAAAAAGATATATACAGGTATATAATTATAATAAAACATATAATAATGAATATATTTTTAAAAATAAATAAAAATGTTTTATCATTAGATGGTATTCCAAGTTTCGATCAGTCGGGTAAGTAAGTTATCGACCGGGTATGCAAATCGTAGAAATAATACAAAAATATAATATAATGAATATTTTAAAAATGAATATAAATATAAATAATTAAATGAATATATAAAATATATAATAAAAAAAAAAAAAATATAAATAGCGAATAAAATCAGTCGGTAAATATCTACCAATCGAGAGCATACTTATTACAGGTAAATATTATTTTATACAAAACCGCGTTTGGAGATTTCAGAAATATTGATTTGTTTGCATTTCCAGTAGAAAGGATCCATCGACGCAGGAATTTAACGACAGTTCATGGTAACCATAGAAACAACATAACTATAAAATCGACAAAACGAGATTACGATGCATACCTAATATACCCATTTTAGATACGTCTCTCCATATACACTGTGCGTCCACGTGCAACTTCACGTTCAGTGCATTTAAAAACAGCAAAGTTAATAAAGTACAATTAAATATAATATTATAATATAAATAATTAAATTGTATAGGTAATTTAAAAAAAAAAAAAAAAAAGGAATTATCATGATGGACATGGAAATGAACGCCGATTTAGGAGTAAGCAAACTTTGATTTTAAATATTCACTCAAGAAATAATTTCAAATATATATCGATCGTTTCGATCGATATCTCGAAGTAGATGAGATCGTCAGTCACGTGTTTTATCTTTTGAATTTTTCTTTATTAATTTACATTTTTCCAATATTGTCTAACTTTTAATTGAATTTTTTCAAATCACGATGACGAAAGAATTCGAAACGAAGAAGAAAGGGAAAGAAGAGAAAGAGAGTACGACGAAGAGGAGAAATAAATTCGATGTTAATACAATTGAGCACAATATAATATCGTTTTATTTAACCTAACCGCGCAACTCGAGCGGTAAGCACAATTCAACGAAGTTTTTAAATTCCCGTAACTTCGTTATAAAAAAAAAAAAAAAGAAATTAAAATAATATAAAATGAAAACAGCTGTTATAATATTAGGCAATAAGTGAACAAACTGACTGAAAATATAATATCCCAAAAGAAATGCGTAGAATTTAAATTGAAATGAATTTTTCCCTCGCTGAAATCACTAATATTACATTTTTATTTTGTAGAGATACAATATTTAAGCGAGGGTTTAATGGTATGGGATGGGTTTGAGGGGTTGTGAATAAAATCAATCTATGGTAGACCGCATAAATGCGCGGCTAGGTGATGATATGTGATAGAGGAAATTTTCTTCGAAGTACTTTTTCACGATAACTTTTATGATCCTTTCAGGATGATGGAAGCGAGAGTAGTCAATCATCTTCCGAGGGTAGTTCAGCTAGCAGCACGTTTTGTAACTTGGAAAATGACTATGCGAGGGTGAGCAACTCTCTGATCGACATTAAATATATTATATTTCTTTTTAATTGTATTGTGTGTGTATATCTATGCACTCAAATAATATTTTATATTATAGTGCGTATTGTTTTATAAATGAAAGTTTTAGTTTAACCGAATATTAGGATTAAAACTTTTCAAACCCACCTATGTATAATATATATGTATATATGTATATAATATATTTATATTCATAATTAAATATATATATTGATTTTAATAAGTAAATAAATAAATAAATAAATAATACATACTATTGTACAGATTATGAAAGAAATGAAGACTAATGATGCTTTAGCAGTATTCGAGGACGACTATAGAAGACTTTACGAATTTTTGTATAAGTCTCATAAGAATGAAAAAGAACTCACGGAAAAATGTTCTTCCTTAACGGTAAGCCTCTTTGAATATACGTATATACATAATAAAAAAAAAATATTGATGGAACTATCGGAAAACTAACGTGATACATATATACATATATATATAATTTATTAGAACGAGATTGTGGAGAATGCTAAGAAAATAAACGATTTGACGACTAAAACTGAGAGCGATGCTACCGAAATTGCAAGACTCAAACAGGAAATTGAAAAAGCTTTGAAATTAGCGGATGCTGCTCATACACGGGAACAAAATGCTCAAGAAGTTATCGACAATTTAAGATTGAACATAACAAAATTAATGCACGAAATAGAAGTTAAGAATAAACAACTTGCCGGGGAAGATGAGTAAGTTTTAGTGTTAAGACGATTATAAATCGTAATTTATTTCTTTATTTATTTCATTCTCTCTCTCTCTCTCTCTCTCTTGAGAAATTATACGACATCGTCGTGTACTATAATATATATATTGGGATATAAATAATATTCTGATATTAAAAAAGAATTTTTTTTTTTTATTTTATTTTTGTTTATTATGTATTAATATAGGTCAGTGGACAATGAACACGTCGGTAATTAATATTCCTTGTTAAACGTTGGTTTTTCCGATCCCGTTGGAAGGGTACATAAGATGAGTAACGATGAAAACTGGTTGTACCGATTTTATTGAAAGTATTTTTCATTAAATTTGTCTCGCGTGCACACAAGTAAAAAAACCCGAGGGAAACGTGCGTCGGTTTCACAAAAAAAAAGTCTACAAATAAAATTCGCTTTAATATAAAGGGTGGGCTATAAAAATTGTTACATATAAATATCTTCTGCGTTTTATTTATAGTTTTATGGATATAGTTTGTTAAACTGAATTACAAATATTCGAAAAAGATTTATTTATTGGCTCAATATATTTTTCGATATTTTATATCAGTATTCTGATATGTTTTATAAAAATTTATATGATTTTATTTAAATTTCTCACTCTGTATATATATATATAGATCTATATAATATACATATATACGCGACATACATACACACACACAAATATATATATATATGAAAAACCAACGAAGAGAACCTATTCGCCGAGAATATCCAATTATCACGTACTCGGTGTGTTTTCTTCTTTGAGTATACTTTTTCCTTCCACCTTTTCCTAACTAATCGTTATAAAAATTGTAGATCCGGAATAAGCCAACAAAGGGAAGGCCTATTAAGAGAAAGAGAAAAATTATTAGGCGAGATGGAGACGTTGAAAGAGAGATTAAAAAATATGTCACAATATACCAATGAACTTGAGACTAAGAACATTACGGTAGAACAGAAAATTATCGAAATGCAAGAAACGTTGGATATACGTACGAGCGAGGTTTCCAGAGAAAAAAGGGCAAAAGAAAGAATGGAAGATGATTTTCATCAATTTGAGGAAGAACTCGTTCTAAAAAATGAGGATCTTCACGTAAGAGTTTTGATTTTGTTATATATATATTGATTCATATAAAATTGGATTAAACCTTCGATTAATATAAATTTGATTTCTCAATTATACAGAACGCTAACGAAGCATTGAGAAATGCAACCGATAACATTAAAAAATTGGAGACTAAGTTAAAGGACAAAAAGGTTGCATTTGATCAAATGCAGAAGGAATTGAGCAGAGTGTCGATGAAAAATTTAAATCTTCAAACGGATTTGGAAAATGCCAATGTACAAATCGATGTATTGGACAAAGATATTAGCGACAAGGAGAAACAATTTAGAACGCTTAGGAATGAACTTAATAGGTAATATGAACAAAAAAATTAAAAATCATTTTATAATAATCTAATTATCTTAAATTAGTGTGAAAATAATTTGTAAGTATCTCATTCAAAGATTTACAATTTATGATCTTTTAATATCGAATGATTAACATTGAATAATTGAATAATTGTAGAGCTAATGAAAGGAGTACGAGAAATAAATCGGATAAGGATATATTGGAGAAAAAATTTTTAAAAATTGATTATGAAAGAAACCGACTCGAACAAGAATTAAAACAAGCAATAACGAACATAAAGAACGTTGATTACGAGATAGCAACATTTCAAAGACAGCAATTCAAGGATAAGCAACAGTACGAGGCATTGATGCGCGATAAGAATATCTTAGCAAGGACTAATGAGAACTTGAAGGAGCACGTTAGAAATCTTGATCACGAAATGGCTGTAATCAATGCAAGCAGGAAGAAATTAGAATACGAGCTTAATAATAGTATACATAGGGAGGCTGAATTAAACAAGAAAATAGAAACTATTGAAAAGGAGAGAGATAAATGTAATTTTGAAACACGAGAACTCTTGCAACGAGTAAGTTAATGTATATTTATGTATATATCTTTTTTTATTATTAATTGAAGGATGGGAGGGGGAGGGAAGGAGGAGACAGCACAATGTCACGAAATGGTTGAAAAATAAGATTTTGAAATTAATTTCTACACTACTATACGATGTCCAGTTATTATTCTTTAATTTATAACTACGCGAACGAAATTCTCATATTTCTAAATAAAATAGTTTTGTTATTTTTTTTCTTTTTTTTTTTTATATGAGAAGTATTTTTGTAAATATATTTTTATTTCATTTGTAATTTAATATTCTCGGATTTTTAAGTACCTATAAAGAAAATAAAATAAAATATATTTTCACAGGGAGAGAAAGAGAGATTATTTTTTAATATCTTTGTGTGTGTGTTGCTAATAAATTAATAAATATAAAAAGTAGTAATAATCCTATTAATTATGAAATTTCAATGAAAACATTATTTTTCATAAAAGCCATAATATCTCAGAACTTTACTTTTGTATAGCATAACTTTCTATTGGACTCCCCAATTATTCGCTAATAATATATTGATCCTACAAACATATACACACAGTTTATTAATTTATATTTTATATTTATATTTTTTTGATAACACATATTTATCTATAGAAAATATTTATTAAGTATTTGCCAGTTAAACGATCATTAAAAGAACTTTTTCCGATTTAATTATCGTGCAATTATCTGTTTCAACAATAGCCTGGATGACCTCGTAAAAAAATTAATAATGTTGAATGTTAATTATTCATTACGATAATACGTGAGGGGAAAAAAGACACGAGAAAATATTGTGAAACGAATTGCATGAAAATAGGAAAATGAATTTCAAAGGACAATGGTTCTAATTGAATAACAAATGTGTGTGTGTGGAATGATTTTGTTGAAATTATAAAAATTAATAATTTTAACATTTGCATATATTAATTTTCGAAGATCAAGATGTTATACATATCTGAATGTTTTTTTTTTTTTTTTCTTTTTTTGATCAACTACATTTTTTTCTAATCAATTATCGGTGTCAAACTCTATAAAATGAAATTTTAATTGAAACTTTAATCATCTTATTAATAATGGGATTTACCTAAGAGAATTATTTTAATCCTATTATAACGATATATCTTTTATCATTTTCCAATTTCTTTTTTTTTCTTCTTTTTTTTTTTTTTTCTATTCTATCTGATAATGTAATATATTCTACACCTTAATAGCTTAATTAAATGTTTCATAGAAGATGCTTGTACCCTTCAAATCTGGAATAATAGAGTTTATATGTGTGCATTCATGTTACGATGTAAACGCATATAATCTTCTTGAATATGTAGCAAGCATGAAATGAATGAATATGGTAAGTTCGGTAAGATCGATAAAATGCATCACTGATATGTACAATACGAACACGGATACGGTGATGTGTTGAAATCTTGAAAATTGTTATATAACACATATATGCATATATACTTTAGCTGAATATACCATACAACGTAACGATTCTTTCTACATATTTGTAAAAAAGAACGTTAGAAAACTACCATAAAAAGAACATTATAATTTGAGATAACTTTTAAATATCATTATCAACCCTCTTACCCCTTTCGGGCGTCACAAATGGCTTGATGTTGTTTGAAAGTTGCGTGAATGAAAAAAAAAAAAAAGAACAAACCAAAAAAGTGTTCCTTTTTATGTCAATTTTTTTGCCGAGGGTCAAGTTGGCCTAATCTTTCAAGGGAAAATTAAACTTACAGTTATATTTCATTTTTCGCAACGTTGAAGGATAGACGAATGTTAATTTGAAATAATCGAGAGAAATTTATATTGGAAAATATATAATATAGGTATTATATTTAAATAATATATAATAATAATAATAATAATAATTTTCTTTCTATATAGGTCGACGATTACATAAGCGAGATTAAGCTGAAGCAAGTAGAAATCATGGACTATAAGAAACGACTAGATGAGTCCGAGGTAAAGTACCGTCAGCAGCAGAACTTATTCGAGGTCGTTCGGAGTGAGAGGAATGCTTGCAGTAAAAGCTTATTGGAAGCTCAGGAAGATGTTCAGGAACTTAAGAGCAAGTTGCAAATCATGACTCAACAAATTGAACAATTGAAAGAGGATATTGCCACGAAGGAGGCCGACTTGATTAAGAAAGAATTTGGTAAGAGCGATTGATTAATATATTCAATATATTATCTATTTATTGAATACTTTTTTTTAATATGCGTAACAAATAAAATTGATCGAATAGAAAGGGAAAAGGGAAAGAAGTAATTAATTTTCATTTGGGGATATGGCCAATAAATAATGTGGTTAAAATTTGGATATAAAATATTATACACACAGGATTGTATTATTTTATATAATTATTAATACAAAAAATGAAAAAGAAGAAGATAAAAGAAATACTATTATTATTTAATATTT